TGCAGGCTACATGAGGTGTAAGGACGAGATAGTGCGAGAGAAATTAGCAGCAGCCAGCCACATGAGGTATATAATGTTATGCAAAGGAAGTAGGTGTTAATCTCAGAACATTGGTAATTGATTTATAGGTTTTAAGGTCATGGTCAGATACCTACTTTTTAATCTGTTTATGACACAGTACACAAGAGGCAAAGTGTTTCACATCATAGATTTCCCTTCCACCTCTTTGGAATGTTCATTTCTTTGGCTAAAAGGAGAAACTAGAAGGGAAAGCCAGGCAGTGCTTGGGCAGCTGAAATAAGGTCGGGGCAGGAGCAATGCTAACATTATCCTCACAGGGATGGACACAGGGGACTATCAGTCACACGCTGATTTTCTAGCATCATTTGCTAGCAGCAGCACAAGAGCACCACTACTGGACACTCGAGCCATCTCAGGCCTCAGTCATCCCCACCACACAGGTAGAGCAGCGCTTTCTGGTAGTCGCCCTTGGTGTCTTGCTGGATGTAATAATACAGGGACTTGCCATACTTTTTCTTGAATTCAGACCTGATTTTCAACATAACTACTTCCCCGGGGGAGATCATGATTCTAATCAAGACCTTGCTGCGTGCCCCCTTACCCTTCCTGGAATCATACAGTTGGTCAGCAAAATATAGGGGCTTGGTCAGATACCTACTTTTAGAAACAGGACTCAGGCTGCACAAGGATCACTGGATTATTTGTGGGCAAGGATAGGAGGCTCTTTTGTAATCCCCAAAAGGGGAAATGGTGGCCTGAACTAATGCATTGCAAGCGAAGAGAAATTTCTGGCTTTTGAGCTGTTAAAGAGAATTTACATAATGAACAAACTGAACCAAGAAGCAACATAGAGACAGACAGCAGGCTGACAGCTCAGCAGGAGGAAGGGAAGGTGGTTAGGGGATACAGGGAGGGATCAAGCAAAAAACAGAAAAGGACTCATTGACATAGACAATAGTATGGTGATTCCAGAGGGGGGAAGAGAATGGGTGGAAGAGGGTGTAAGGGGGGTAATGGTAATGGAAAAAATACAATAAGTTATATATCTATATATATTTACATGTATAAGTGTAAATATATATACATATATAGAAAGAATTTACAAACCTTTTTGCAGTTGAGTATAGCCTCTGTAGCCAGACCCCATGTTCACATCTTTTTTTACTACTTACTAACCACGTAATTGTGGGCACACTACTTAAATATGCCAAAATTTACTCATATGTAATAACAACTACTTCATAGGGGTCCAGTGAAGATTAAATGAATACTGGTAAAACTCTTAGAACAATACCTGGCACTTAATAAGGACTCAAAAAGTAGCAGCTTTTTAAAACTTAGACTAGATGCGATAGGTGAAGGAGAATCAACGATAACTTCTAGTGTTCAGGTTTGAACTGGGTGAATATGATACTGTATTTTGAAATGGACAGTGTTGGTAGGTGAGGAGGGATGACTTCACTTCTAGAAAGGTTGCATTGGAGGTACTTGTGGGACATCCACGTAGACATGCAGGCTGTGGCATCTTCAGTATCTCAAGAAAGGTATCTGGGCAGAGGTAGGACCTGGGAATCATCAGCAAGCTTTTCATATTTGAAGCCATGGGAGACACTGAGACTGCCCAAGAAGTGCCCATAAAGTAAGAAGGTGGTTCAGGATAGAGCACTGCCTGTAGGCAGTGGACAGGGCTCAGGAGAGAATTGAGCTCTAATTGTCCACATCCAAAGCTCATGGCCTTTCTGTTAGATCATGAGCAACCTGTATAAATTTTTTTACACTCATGTGAGTCGCAGAAATTTATTCAGCGAGTATTTGATCCCCTACTCTGTATCAACCACTGGGTAAACCTCAGTGAGCAAGAAGGGCATGGATTCTGTCCTTACTTTTAGTGAAGATGGACAATACAGATAGCTAAGTGCTGTGACAGCTACAGAATACCTCTCTGCCCAAGAGCACCTGACCCAGACATGGGATACAGTGGGGGAAGACTTTCTGAAAGAAGTGATGGCTAAACTACATTTTGGGTTAGCTAGGTAATAGCAGAAAGTTCCAGGAAAGCAAAAGGAACACATTTTTTCCTTCTCCTTGAATTTCCATGGAGGGAAAATGAGAGAAGGGGCAGTACATTTGGGTTGTAGTATCTGTGTTTAGCTCATAAACATACCAGTCTGTGTGAGGTGACCAAGTGTTTGGGTTTCCTTCCAGGTGAGGTTGTCCCAGCCCATTGCTGTATCCTGTCTGCCTGCAGCCCCTTCTTCAAAGAGCGCCTGGAGCAGGAGAGGCCAGCTCAGGGATGTAAGGTGGTACTGGAGCTGGGCGGCCTGAAGATCAGGACACTTAGGAAGCTGGTGGACTTCCTGTATACCTCAGAGATGGAACTATCTCAAGAAGAAGCCCAGGATGTGCTTTCCGCTGCCCGTCAGCTCCATGTGTCTGAGCTAGAATCCCTTCAGCTAGAGGGTGGAAAGTTGGTGAAAGCCCCTCAAGGCCGAAGACTGAACCGGGAGTGTTTACAACCTCCAAGCGCTGCACCAATCTCTGCCAGGGTGGTGGCATCCAGCCACCGCCCTCAAACTCCACTGCCTGTTACTCAGACTCCCTGTCCTTTTGGAGCAGTGAGATTGAAGTTGTCAGGGAAGGATGAGGGGCCCCAGGACAAAAGCAACCGCCAGAATGCAGAGAACTTGTCTGGCACTCTTCTTAAGAGGAAGGTCAGAGCCTGCACAGCTCCACAAGAAGAAAGCTCTTCACCATCAAGTCACAGTCAGGGGTCTAAAGAGAACAAGAGTGACGCCACCCTTGGTCCTACAGAGCTTTCCCCACCCAGTTTGGACCCTTCTGTGGATAAGCGACTACTGCCCAGAAAGATCAGGCTGAGCCGTTCAAAGCCGTCACATGATGTCTGCACACCCAAGTCTTCCAGCATTTTAAGCGGACCCAGCTCAGTGCCTGCAGCCCCTGGCCGGCGTCTTTGGCGACAGAAGAGCATAAATAAAGTGCCAGAGGACAAGCAGAAACCAGGGAGAGCTAGTCCTCTACATGGCACCCCAAGCCCATCTGGTCTTGGAAAGATGGGTGGGAGTAAGAAACAGAGTCCTGAAGTCAGGGCACCTAACTCAGACTCTGCAGAGGAGGGGCAGGTTGGAAGAGTGAAACTTAGGAAAATTGTCAATGGGACCTGCTGGGAGGTGGTGCAGGAGCCTCCGCTCAAAACCTCTCAAGTTAGCCCTCAGGTCCCAGAACCTGGAGACTCAGGAGAGCCTCCCGGGGCTCAGCTATCCTCAGCTAACCAGCAGGCAATATCTACTACAATAGACCTAGGTCAGGACTCCCCAGGGTGCTCTAGGCTAGAAGACATTCTGCTGTCTGCTAGCTGCTCCCCAGACCACCCAGTGGTGAAGTCCGAGTTTGGGTCCAGTCCAGAGCTGGTAGGGAAGGAACCTGGGTTTGATATTGACTGCAGAGAGGAATATGCATTTGATACAGCCCTGCTGGGGCAGCCCTGTGAAGCTGAAGAGTACCGAATCACAAGCGTTGCTGCCACCAATGAGCTAGAGGAGATCCTAGACTTCATGCTATGTGGCTCGGATATTGAGCCACCTACAGAATCTCTGGAGAGTCCCAGGGCTGAGGGCTATAGAACTCCTAGTTATCACCTGACAGAAACAGGAAAGAACTGGATGGAAGGGGAAGAATGGTATTTACCGGACATGGAACTCTGGCCCAGGGAGCTCACAGGTTTGGAAAAGGAACCTGTTGGTGAGAACAAAGAACCAGTTGAACCCATTAGCCCCCTTGTCATACCCTCTAAGATTAGTGAAGGGGAGGTGCTTTCAATAGGAAGCTCTTGGATTCGAGGCCAAGAAACTCCCAGCTCTCAGCCACTGGATAGTCAGAGAGAGAGACTTCACATTGACTCCCTTGACCCTCCCCAAAGTTCCTATGGGGTCCTCTCACCTCCCTGTTCTAACTGGGTGGAGACTGGGCAGGAAATGTCCCTAGCAATGGAAGAAGTGTTGTACCCTGCTCCAGAACCAGGAAAGGAGGTACTTATCAACTGTGAACCAATGGACCCACTTTCTGCCAGCCCTGAAGAGGAAGAAATTGATGTGGTAGACTGGACATCAGAGGGGAGGCTGGTACCCATCGGTATTCCCTCCGTGTGGCCTGACCCTTCCTCAGAGTCAGAAACAGAGGTAGACATACTAACCTAGTAGAGTGGGGAAGGCAACTTAGGGGCACTGGGCGGATAGGAAATGTTGGTTAGCAAAAGAGCTATTGGCATAGAGGCTAGGCCGTGTCCTATGTCCTGTCCTTTTGGCACAAGAGGCAGGCATACCCCTTGTTCTGTAGATCCTGCACTCCCCCTCAACCCCCTGCCCATTTCTGGGAGTTAGGCAGAACTCAAGTACTACTATGGGTAAGAAATTATAAACTTGAACCACCTTACTTATAATTTACTTCCCAGTGACAAGTGGAACAATAAACTGTGTGGTCTCCAACTCTAGTAGAGAACAGCCAAGGCCAGGTCTCCCAGGTTATGAGGCACCGCTGATCCAGGAAAAATTAAGTGCACCCTCTGCAGTAATTCTGTGTCAGAGAAAATGTTCCAGAAGGTGAGAAGCAGTGCTGGGGTGGAACCATGAAGTGGGTGGGAGTGAAAAGGACATTGTCCAGCACCTTATTGAGTGGGGCTTATTTATTCCCAGTTTGAGAAGTCTTAGCCAAAATCCCTGCTGGGGCCAGGAAGAAGTACTTCCATCATCATTTCCAAGAAGTGAGTTGAAATAGATATAGTTGCTTTAAAAAAAGAATAAGAAGTTACTTGCTTTTCCCCAAAAGTTTTACAAATAGTTCATATGCTTTACCAGACACCCTAGGAATTCCAGGTTAAGTGGTGACTTTAGGCTACAAAAAATACAAGGGGGACCGATCCCATAAGGTTGGCTTTTACCCTTCACCATAAAATTAAGTTTCACTTTATTACTCAAGTACTTTATTTCAATTTTTATTAAACAAACCAAATCCAAGAACTTTTCAGTGCCTTACTAGAGGGTTGCCTCACAACTGAACCTTCATTTCTGGAGGGGGAGAAACCATAGCTTCAGGCACATGACTGAAGTTTCACCATGTCCCATCATAAATGCTTCAACATCACCAGAGACACAAGGCTGTGAAAATAAAAAAAAAAGTCACAGAAGAGATGCAGGCAATCATATAGCCCAAGAAGACATGCTCCCCAACCTTTGACCCCAGACTCAGGAGAGCTCTAGGATTGCATCCTCTTCCCACATCTCACTGACCACGTGCCAAAGCACTGTATGAAGCACTAGGGATAAAGGCAAGATCAAATCCAAGTGACTTAAGAGTTCAGTAACTCTCAGTGTTGCCACATGGGTCTATTAACAGACCGTAAGAGGGACAAAACAAGAGGGTAGGGGTAAGTATACGTGAAATTACAAAGATTTTTGCCAATAAAAGGGGGAAATCCCAACCCATACAAATAAACACGTGTCAGTGATTTTGTTTCATTTGTAAATGAGGGAACTGGTGAGCTTTACAATCACTTCAAAGAATCAAAACACTTGCTCCATCAGGGATGTGGAAAATGATTATTTTTTTAACAAAACCCGTCCATACCCCCAGGGCAATAATTAATGGCATCTTCAAAGGATATAAGCTGCATTTATAGAAGTCATTTACATTACCTTGCATTCTAAGACTTGGCTCAAAGACAACGAAAAATGAGACATGGAGTTAGCAGAGGGCACACCAGATAAAAAACACTAAAAAAATTTTTGCTGACTTCAGTTTTTCCTACAAATAAAAGCGGTTAAGAGGTATCCTCAATAGAGGAAATATTAAGAGCAGTTAGTTTTGAAGAAAACGTAGCTCCTGGGTGAAATACGCAGTAACAGTAAGGGTTGCTTTGCAAATAGCCACATCAAGATCAACCCAATCCCTCCCTAGCCCCTCACCATTTCAAACCTCAGCATGAGGACTTCTACCCAAATCTCTCTACGGAAGGTACTTCTTTAGCTTCTCCACCACCTCTTTTGGCTCAGGGAACTTGAGTTTCCGTGGGGGCCCCTTCTTAATCCCAGTCCAGAGCTCTGCACCTGGGGAAAAACCCAACAAAGCGAAGTTACTACGTCTCCCCACTGCTGGCCCTTCCCCTCCTCGGATCTCTGCCCTCTCCTTCCAGACCCGGGCCGATCCCTACTCACTGCTGCCGTCTGGGCGTAGCAGCGTCACCTCGAAGCTGCCCCTCCGCGGCTTGGCAGGGTTCAACTTCACTGGAAGCTCCGGGGCCTCCAGGCGCAGCGCCTGACTCAGGGCCGCGGCGTTGCGCCCGTACACGCGTCAGCTCGTGCTATGGAGAGAAGGCTAGAGTCAGAGACCAGGGCCCAGAGTGTAGGACGCCCTTGCTCCCTTCCCCGAGACTGTCCAGGCCCCTCACCAATGCTCGATAACTACGGTCGCTTCCTCCACTTCCTTCTGGCCGCCAGCCAACTTCTCCTGTTTCTCAGGTGCCGCAACCACCGCCGCCTCTGCCTTTCGCTTCCTCCCGCGAGAAGCCATGGCACCTGGAGCCTAGCCCGCAACCGAGCCGACCCAAGGCGGGAGAAGGGTGGGGATGCGGACGGCCCTACTCCGAGCTCCGAACAGCAGGCCAAAAACACCGCTACCAGAACCAACTCCCCGAAGCAGCGGAAACCGCAGCGTGAACGTACACGCGGCGGGTAGGCGGGACCTCCGGGTACAGCCACTCCGCACGCTGTGTGGGGGAGGCAAAGCTGGCGACCCAGACCTAACCACGTGGGCCTGAGGTCGGGTACAGCTGGGGCGGGGTTTAGGGAGCTCCGAAGACGAAGCTGGCCCCAGGTTTTTCTGTAACCGCGAGATTAGCTAATTAACCTGCATCACGCACTCGATCCTCAGCCCGGAACATCTCCTCCCTGGGACCTGCGGCCCAATCCCGAACCAAGTCCGGTCTTAACATGGTGCGGGTCAGCACTCTGGATTTACGGAAACTCGTTTTCCCCACTCTCTTATCCTGGGTATCAATGACTGGCATTTGGTGAAACTAATGAGAATGGTCTTGGAAGTTAATTAAAACTTAAGCGATTCCTTTGCAGTTGCCTTACTTCTTAATACTTGAGGAACACAACGAGACTGCGCGAATCAAAAGGAAACCCCAGTCTCTTTATTATGGAAAACCATTAACTCCGGCGGGTAGGTGGGAGGGTTAGTGAAACCCCAATCCTGTCCATGGGCTTTCTCCTCCAGACTCCACCACACAAAGGAAGGTCTCAAACTTCTATTCCACTCCCTCCCAACCTCCATTAAAAATAGATTATCAAATACCATGTTCAATGAGAAAGCTCTGTAGTTAAGGGTTCGTCCAGTGACAAAGTTAGGTTTATAATCTTTAATGAAGGCCACAAGCCAATCCAGAAGGGCCCACAGCAGCAAGGTCCTTGAGGGAAAATTTTAGTGCAGACTCTGTACCCTGGCATCTTATGTTAGGGCTCAATCTACTGTAAGAAGTCTGCGTAGGTCCTCTAAGGAATACAGACACCAGAGCATGGTGGAGATGAGTGAGTGGTGGGCAGCACTTGACAGTGACCCAAGCTTGGAAGGAAAGCATTTCCCCTCCACTGTACGAGACCTCTCCTTTCCTCCACCAAAGTAGTTGGCCACAGGAGTGGTCTTCCTGGAGCGTGCCTGTGAATTCCCTGAATGCTTCTTGAAAATCAGAAGCAGCACCGGGCCCCATCCAGCACAGCCAAACAGGGCAAACATAAATTAAAGGTGAAACCTCAAGCAAGGCTGTGGTTACAGAAGGGGCAGAGCTTCAAAGGTGCCTGGGACTGACCAGCGAGGAAGCACTAGCAAGGCAGGGGACCTATTTGTCCTTCTTGCTTTCCCCATCTGGCACTGCCATGGGGTTTGGGGTCACAGGCTGCTCCTCAGGAATATTATCTCCGGCCTTCCGTTGCTTCTTGGCCCGTTGATACAATTCATTCAAGCTGAATTCACGGATCACGTTCTCCTGCACAAAAGAGATGTACGTATCAGGGATGGAAGGAAGAGTTCCCAGGCTGGGAAGTAAGACGTATTCAGGCACAGTCTAGGAAAAGAAAGCGAAGGACCGAAATCTACTTTTACCTAAATCTCTTCTATGGGTACCTGAAAAGTCAAGTAATATTTAAGCACCCATTATGTGCCCATCACTCTGCCAAGAATTATAGCTACACTGTTGAATGGAATCTGAAAAACAGCCCTGTTGGCCAAGTGTTACCATCTCCCATTTACACAAAGGAACCTGGGGCCTACAGACTAAGGCCTTTGAAACTTAATCTTAACTCATAATTCCCCAGTATTAGCAGGTCTGGTACACGGTAGAAGCATAATATAAATTTGCTGAGTGACCTGGCTAGTGTAGCTCGGTGGACTGAGCACGGGCCTGCAAACCAAGGTGTCACTAGTTCCATTCCCAGTCAGGGCACATGCCTGGGTCGCAGGTCAGGTCCCCAGAAGGGGGCACAAGAGAGACCACCACACACTGATGTTTCACTCTCCCTCTTTCACTCCCCCCTCCCCTCTCTCTAAAAATGATAAAAATATATTTTTAAAAACTTGCTGAGTGAATTCATAGATGAGATCCAATAAAGAGTCCACATTCTTAAAGCTTGTAGAAAGTGGCAGAACTAGGAATTGGACCCAGGTTGGGCTCCAAAGCCCACCCTACTGTGTCATAACCTTCTCCAAACCATTTGCCCACTCTTTTCTGTACCTCAGAGAAAGTCCAAGAGACAGCTCGTCCTTTCTTGTCAATCTGTGGCCGCCGCATGACCTCCTTGCCACCTTGGAACAGGATCAGGGTAGGAAGCTGCTTGGTGAGGGGGGATGTGCTCACTTTGTACCTGCAGGGCCCAGAAAGTACTCTGTAAATGCGTCTGTATACATCACTCCAAGTGATTCCCTGTTTAGACCATCCACCCAGGACCTTACATACCGGGTACTAACATCAGTGTAGCGTCCAACGTCCACCTTCCCAAAATTTAGTCCCGTACAGTTGTACCTGAGAAGAATGTATTATTTAACATAGTGAAAGAAGAGAGAATGGATCAAGGGTAGTGTAGTAAGTCCAGCTATTCAAGGGGATGCCTTTGGTTGCAATGTGCAAAAACCAAGGCCAAAAACAAAGAGAAAGTAAAGCCTCTCAATTTCTGTCATTCCCCTGCTCTGCACTACTCACTTGAGGGAGAGATCAGCATAGATTGGAGCAAATGATTGGCAGTCATTAGACCAATTGGCAAAGAACTCCACAATCCAAGTGACCCTCTTGTCCCGTTCCAGCTCTTCCTGCAACACACAAGGAGGAAACAGCGAGCTGAATCACACAGGCTCCTGGAACGGTTCAGCCCTTCGCGTCTAGTTCCTCTTCAAGGCTTCCCCTCTCCATCTCCCTTAGCTCCCATGATGAACCACAGTGCACCTGACTTCCATGCTGAAGCATGGTTGCTCCTCCTAGTGAGCAGGGAGCACAACTACAAAATTACCCACAAGGGACCCAAAAAACAGGCAGAAGGATGAGCGCTCACATCAATGGTTTTATCGTTGAAGTACTTGATGTACTCAGGGCCCATGTACAGGGGAGGTTTGCATGTCATCAGGAACACTGAACACACAAAAAAAGATGTCAGAGGAAACACATAAGGCCTTGGGCAAGGATTTACTTTCAAACCAACTTAGACTTTAAGCACCAAAAAATACACTTTGTGGTATTCCCTTTCTCTTAAAATAAAGTCTCTGTAAGATTCTTACCGTCTAGGCCACATACATAATTAGTTAGGAACAGATATGGAAAACGAGCCTGGAGAAACTGGTTTGGGATTTGGTTCCCACAACCAAGTCTTGCAGTCTCCTTACCTATGCAGAATGTGACGTAAAGCAGGCCCATGCGAATATCCAGGCGGAAGAAAAGTATGGCATTGGCCACTTTACTAAACATGAAGATGTTGCCTATATGTTGTTCCACAGTGACTGAAACACAGAAATGTCACAGGTCAGGCTGGGTTGCATGCTCCTACATCCCATTCTTTGTCCCTTTTCCTGGAGTACTTTGAAATGGGAGAGCGGCAAGAGGGATAAAAGTCCAATATCAAATTCAGCACTGACATGAAATGAGGGACTAGTCAGTAAATAATGCCCCTCTCATAATGAATGAAAACACCTCTGGAGGGCTTTAGACCTACTTTTGGGAGACAGAAAAAGACTAAACTTACTGGACCTGCGGTTCTTCATCATCACAATGGCACTGAGAAACATCAGGATCTCTACTTCCCTCTGCAACAGAATCAAAGTGGCAAGAATGCCATCAGTAGAGATAATATAGGTGGGTAAGGGAGCCACATATGGAACAAAAACCAATAGATATCCTGGAGTCGGCTAAGTGACAGTATGAAAAACACCAGTCAGAAGATCTAGGTTTGCCCTAGCTGGTGCAGCTCAGTGGATTGAGTGCTAGCCTTCAAACCAAAGGGTCACTGGTTCAATTCCCAGTCAGAGCACATGCCTGGGTTGAGGGCCAGTCCCCAGTAAGGGGCACACAAGAGGCAACTACACATTGATGTTTCTCTCCCTCTCTTTCTCCTTCTGTTCCCTCTCTAAAAATAAATAGATAAAATCTATATTAAAAAAAAAAAGATCTAGGTTCAAGTTCTAACCCTGCCACAACCTGGCTAGTGCCTTTCAGTGAATCAACTGCTGAGCTCTGTTTTCCTCCACTGAAAATCTATTTTAAAATGCTATTGTGAAGATTAAATAACAACAAATATAGAAGAGTTGTGTAAGTATGTATAAAACTGTGAGATATTACAACCAACTCATTGTGACCCTGGGAAAATAGAACTTTTCCAGGGAGACTTTCTCACTAATATTTCATTCATGTAGTATATGCTTATTTCATTTGGTTTTATTTAAGTTAGATCATTCCTCTTCACCCCATATACAGTGATAATCCATGTGCCACCTTCAATATAACTTGAGAGCTGAAGGAGGCATTCCAGAGCTCTCACAGGCCCTTGTCAGCAACCTTGGCTTTAAGTTCTTTCCCACATTCTAGAACGTAAGCTCCACGTTAGCAAAGTTAGACAGACAATAAACACGACAAAGAAAAACAGGATAAGTTGAAAGAATAAAAGCTGCAATGACGAATAACAAGGACCATGTGAGAGAAAGTGTGGGAGGAGGACAACTATAGATTGGCTGGTCTAAGGCCTTCCATACCTTTGTTTATAATACAGAGGCCAAATCATTGTCAGACAGAACCACGAAATTGTGATTTAGAGCTAGGAGTCAGGAACCCAGGTTTTTAGCCTCAATTTCCAACAAAAAGAAACTTGCTGTATTTAGAAGTAGTCATGTAGAGTGGGGGGTTAGGGAAAATGAGAGACCTCAATAAACCCATCATTAAACCAGAAAACATATTTAACACTACACTGTAGAGTATCGGTTGTTCTCCCTCTTCCTGGCGTGGCTGACTAGGAGCTGGGTCTCACTGACACTGCCCAACCTCAGGTGACACCATTGTAACACATATTGCTAGCCTAGGAAAAGATCAAACTTCAGAATTCAAAGTATGGTTTCTATTGAATGTGTATCATTTCCACACCATCCTAAAGTCGAAAAATCATAAGCCGAATCATCTTAAGTCATGGATCATTTGCAGTTAAATTTTTT